GTTAGTAGTTTCATTAATTAAATGATAAAATTTATTTATTGTTATTTAATTTTTAGTTTTGTTTAATGATATTTAATGTCATCCATTTTAAGAAATTATATGTTTATTATCTGTAATTGTTAAAAAATATTACAAATAAATGAATATCGCTACTAATTTAAGGTAATTATTAATTCTGAAAATTAATTATTAAAGTGCTGATTATGTTTCATTGTAGAGCTATTAAGAAATCTATTCTGTTCTTAGTGAATTTAAGACAAAGACTGAAACCTTCTTATTATTATATTTTTATTTAAATATTACTCATGGGATTCTTATAATTTCAGGATAATGTCAGGCCTTAGTTGTATTATATATACACATATGGCAAGAGACGATAGTCGTAATTTAATTGTTACGAAAGATAAATATATAAAAACTCTTTTGTTAAACAAGGAAGGAACAGAAAAAAGGAACATGGTTAAAAGCAAAGAAAGACAGATATATATGCAGATGTCAGATAACGTTACGAAGTAGAGAACTGAAACAGTAATAATTGTAATGTGAAATTTTCTGTGAGATCTATTGCATAAATAATTATGGAATAACTCTTGCTTTAGTATACTATACTATGTCAACGTAATTTATTATTTTTCATTATTTTTCATTTATAGTATAACCCTTGCACATCGGAATTCCTTTTCTCGCGCACATAATTTTATACTTTTATTTCTGCAATCTATCTTTTATAATAAAAATTTTGCTCTATACTTCATCTTACAATTTTCCAAAATTCGAAAGTTAAATTTGCGAAGATAGTTGATTATATTAAAAATTTCGATTATAATATTATATGTCCAAACATACGAATTAAAATGCTATTATACTTTCTATATATATAAATTACTTTATTGTTTAATAACTTCCATTCAAAGTAAAATGTCAAATTACAAGTGCAAACTTTAAACTTTAAAGCTTAAAAAGATTATCTACACTGGAATAAGAGATTAAATAAATTTTTTTTTATGACAATGCATTATTATTTAAAAATGAAACTTATCATGGAATAGTCTTAATAATTACTTGAAGAAAGGAATTTATTTATTATATAATTTCTATTCTCTAGAGTAATTACGTTAAAGCAGTAAATTCAATGTATGTAACTGTGAATGATCGATTATTATTATTATTGATTGAAACTATTATTCTAAATGTTTTGAACGGTTTTAATGAAGCAAACCAGTTACTGGTTCATTACAGTTAAAATTATTATTGTAAATACTTGTATATTGGTTAGTTTAACTCCTTGTCCTTATCTTTGGAAGCTTCATTAATTATTATTCTTTTATATTACAATTTAAAGATAATCTGAAAGGAAATTTGGAACATTTTCAAAATTAATATGTATATATGATACAAAAAATTGTTATTCAGTATTTATGTTATTATTTTAATAAAAACTAAATTTATTGGCAATTTTTTCCGAGGATTACCTAAAAAACCTATATTTAACGAATATTTTTTCCATAAATATTTTACGTGTATTGTATAATAATATTTCTAAATCTATGTGTGATTATATATTTTGATCTTACGTAAATATAATTGTGTTATATTCCTAGTCTTGAAATTCATCACGTGACTGTATATTTTCATAATCTAACTATTATGAATTTTATTTTAACATGCGAACATTAAATATTCGATTAGCATGTATTAACTTCGATTAACCAAAATTTTTTATGTTAGACTTGTAGAATTTATTTTCATTCCTTCATATCGCTTAACATAAAGTACTTATTTTTGCATATTTTATAAAAGGTATAAGTCATATATTTTAAAAGAGACAGACATATAACATAAATAGAGAGAAAGAGAGAGAGAGAGAGAGAGAGAGAGAGAGAGAGAAAGTGATAAATTATCCAATATTTAAGGACATTAGATATTGATTGAATAGCTATTTCTTCCATCGTACAATTTTGGTTAAATAATATACCGTACCTGAGTCACAAGGATTTATAGGGTAGATTGTGAAATCGGAATTAATCAAGATGCTAACAATACTTCGATTGCCAAACGGATCTTATGTGCAATTTAAGCTTTCAAGCACCATATACAAAGACTGTCTTCAAGAGGTTTTGTTGAAGTTTCGAGAGGTGGTATACTGAATACGAAGAAAAGATTGTAAACAAAATGATGGATTACGATTAATTTTTTAACATATTATGAGATACCATTATTACGCTTAATATAATGGGATCAATTTATAGATTTTTTTACATACTCATGATAGATGTAATAATAATCATAGAAAATTCGCTTTCAAATAATAATAAAAAAGATAAGTAGTAGCCGAGTATCAAAATAAAATGAATTTTTATGATTTTTACTTCTATATTATGTATAAAAATTATATTATTCAATTAGAAACTAGAAACGAACATTACATATTAAATTTTTATAAAACTTCTCGAATTAAGCATAAAATAACATGAAAATTATTAGGTTTTAATGATTTCTTAGTATGAAAGTCGTGCATATGTGGCTTTAATTTTTTCGTATAGTTAGTAAGAAATACAATTTTATTTAACAAAATTATCATACATATATAGTATTGGAAATTTAAAAAACTATAATGAAAAGTATAATATTTGGATTATTAAGTTTTATCATAATTAACAATGTGGTTTAACTTCGATAACATTCTAAACAATATTTATTCAGATAAGATTCACAAATTAATTAAAAATAATAATTTATAAATAATTGGAAGACAATATTATGATAAAGTATGTAAATTTTGAAACGTTTTATTGAAGTAAAATTTATTACTTTATGAAAGAAGCTCATGATCAATATTTATTTTTAATTTACATAATTTTAAATACTTGCTTAATCGCATTTTCTTATATATTGTAAGTTTAATGCATTTTCTATAAGATACAGATTTAAGAAATTACCAAAGTATACGTAAGCAAGTTTCCGCCTTGTGACTCACTCTTAAAATACCTCGATCCATCAAGATTTCCGCATGAGATCCCATAAACATAATATTCATGAAAATAAGCTTTGATGGTCAAAATTCACATACACCGTTATATTTTAAATAATTTTTACTTCTAATTTATCGAAAATAATTGAAATTGATATGAAATATCTTCTAAATTATAGACAACATGCATATACAATCTGGAACGTACAAGTTAAAAAAAAATAGGTGTGTGTGCGCGCGCGCGAGTGTACATAACATGATCACAAATATGTCCACCCACATACAGGATTGAAATAGCTCCCAAGGAGTCTTAGTGTTTATTCTCTCTGTATAATTAAACTACGCATTGAAGAATTATGCTTAAAGTATCTTTTAAATTTAAATTTTTTTTAACCGACCAAGAATATATTCACGTTATACTCTTAATTTTATTACTATGAAAACCTATTATTTTTCAATTCAACGCATTATTTTTACTCTCCATTATTTTTTATTAATTAGACTTGCAACATAAGAAAGTTGTTTAAATATATTTCTATAGTGCATAGTAAATCGATATTTAATAAGATTTTTCGAAGGGTTATTAAATTTTTTTATTTTAATAAAGCATTATTTTGTTTTAAAAATGATGAAGAATTATTTAAAATATATTATATGCTCAGTTCTTTGTTTATTGAGAAATATTAAATATTTCCAATTAAATATTTATTCAGTAATCTTAGATGAATTTTAATTTTAAATAGCAGATTTTTTTATTATTATATATTAATTAAATCATTAATTGAAGAATATGCATTGAAACACTCTTAATATTTCGAGATTTGTAAGCATTTTGGAATGAAATCTCAGATACAGAAATCATAGAAAAACATAATTTAATCGTTAACTTTAATTCTATGGGGAATTTCATTTTGAAGTTTCAATTGTTTGCCATTATAAGTTATATAAGTGTTTGATTTTAAATATATATAATATCTTTTACTATAAGTTTCCATTAAAACTTGTTTACACGAAACAAGTTCAACTAATATTGAAACATTCATATTGATTAATAATGCAATGATTTAAAAACAAAAAAAAAAAAATCTTCTTTTAGAAGTTTCGTTTAATGTAATTCACACAAAACTTTGTTATTTGTTTAAAAATAATGTAATATCAAGTATCTATATACGTTTATACATTTGTTATTGATACAAGAATTATTATTATATCATATTTATTGAATTTTTACAAATTGATTAATTAATATTTGATGTCAAATATTAATTTGTCAAAACCAACAATATCGTACCCAGTTTATGATGTTATTATACTATAGTATTATTTTATATTATGATATTATTGTTTAAATTAAAGTAATATGTAATTTTGTTTAAATAACGGTCGCTATTGTAAAGGGGGGGGGGAGAATTTGCGTATTTATACATCATTTGTAAATAGACATGCGGGGTAGGTGAAATTTTTTATTTTTGTAAGGAATACTTTACAACATTTTATAAATATATTAAATTTATAAGCTTTGCCCATGAGAGTTTCCTATATATTTTTTAAATTAAAAATCCTATTACGATTTATGATCTTACGTCACCATCTTCACAATTGTCTTTCTCTCAACGGAAATAACGCTTTTAATTAAAATTTTGAAATATAAATGTCATGGCCATTAAAATAAATATCGACATAAAAGTCGAATAGTTAGTTAATGGCAATTAAAATTCATATGATATTGATAATCAAATCACGTTACATTGGATGTTGGCTAGGAGTCTTCAGCAATATTCAATAAATATTCTTTCCCGTAAAAGTAACTCTTGGCATTGGCATTACCGTACTAATACCCTAATAAACTCACGTAGCTCCGAAAAAATCGAGCTCTCGATTCGCAATAAGCGTGGGAAGAAGAAGGAAAGAGAATAAGGAGAGAGCACTGGGTGGAGCATAAAAGTCATTGTGAAACGAGCGATAGCACGGAACAATAAGCACAGCTCGATAAATCCATTTTTAAACTTGGCCCTTGTTATTGTTGCAGCTGGGGCAATCGACGAAGATGGGATTCGGAGAGACGTCCGGCGTGGCCGGATAAAGGGATGATCCGGGGCTTGGGACCGCTGCAGCTGCGTTGACCGAGTTTAGGTTGTATCCCGGTTGCACGGCCAGTCATGGAGCCGGGAAACGCGAGCTTGACGGCGAACGCCTCCTTCGCCCAGGCCTCCACGCTCGACGACCTTACCGCCATCCTTACGGCCCTGGTACTCGGCATCCTCATACTCAGCACCATCATCGGTGAGTTCCCCGGGGGTTCGGCTCACCCGCACTTATTACTTAACAAGTCGATAAGGATGGTTGTTGGGATGTTGGAATACTTGCCAGCCTCCCTTTCCAACTGATTTGTTAAATTTTATTCTCCGGAATTTCGTGGGTACACTTTGAATTATGGCATGCGCTCGAGAATAAAGCATACTCGAATTTACTGAAATTTACTTCACATAATGGAATGGCAAATCTCGTGCCATTGCTGATAGCTGCATTCATTAATATTACCGTATTATTTTTACTTTCTCACATACGTAATGTTCGCTATTTATATTGACTGAATATTAACTAAGTATTTTTTATAATGTTATGTCCTCACATTATTTATCTTTCTCTTTTAGAAAATTCGAGTTAATAAGCAATATAGACAATCTTTTTATTTAAGTTGCATAGTTTTAAATGCTTGCTAATCATAAAATTTGCAAATTATTTCAATTGAAAGGCCATATGTTCAACGATGTTGCATGAAAATTGAGAGAAAATATATTCTAGTGTTAGTTTTAAGATATATTTCATAAAATTTCACATGTGAAACTAAAAATAAGCGTAATTGTTTATTATTTTTATAACTATAAAATATATATTCTAAAGTTTTTTTTCACCAAATAAAATATAACTCCCAAATTAAAAAATATGTACAAGGGTACGTATATCATAAACTAAATGTCATGTTCTTTGTAGCTTACATGGGAAAATATTACAAGTAAGGTATTAGATAATGGATCTGAAAATCTGTAAAATATTTTTAGATTTAAAAACAATTTTTCATGCTGATACTGAAAGCATACTACATACTTACATTCACACACATAGACGTATACAAATAATTTTTGTAGATATCAGTAAATAATATAATTTTTCACTTCTCAAAATAAAAATTATTCTATTATTTATTTATTTAATAATTGCATTTACATATTTAATATTGAAATTGTCACAAGCACGTTTCAATTTTATATTAAGAGCAAATGATTCAGTAAACATTGTAATTTCTTTTAATATACATATGGAATTCATTCATATGAATTCAAATTTCTTTTATTTTTTTGGATGATTTCATAATTTTTAGATTATTAATGAAATTGCAACATGAAAATATCAATTTTAAATGCATCTGTATTATCGAATGATTGGTTAATTAAATACTTTATAATGACATAATAAATTTTTGATAAAATATGTATTTCTAATTTCTAATTTCGAATTTGACTGACATGGATTATGACTACTAATTACTTTGGATTTATAGATTATTTATGCATTTTTATTTTAATAATCAAATCAAGTTTATGCAATTCTTTATTTATTTCAATAGATATGAATTAAGAAAATTTAACGTACCTTATTGATCACTCATATATTTATTGTATTTTCGTAGTTAATATTACAAATAAGGCCGTTATGAAATTGCGGACAGAATAGAAATTTATCAAATTATTAATCTATAATGAATGACAAATTCATTAAAATCTTTGGAAAAGTTCATACTTTGGATTGCGAAGCAGTGCGATAATTAAATCTGTGAAAAGATAAGTCAGACTCTCGGTAAGTCAGCTGGTAAAAGCATTTTTCCCGTGAATGTCTTCTAGTTTAACTGTATACGGAGCTGCACTTTTTCATCGATGTTTTCTTTACAGGATTTTTGTTTCGAATTAAAACCGAACGAAGAAAAAATTCATTGTAAATTTTAATTAAAAAATAATAAATTAGAAATCTATAGGGAATTATTTAAATACATAATGATAGCAAAAAATTTCATTTTACTCTCTGAATTCATTTAGATTGAATTAAATTTTTAACTGAAATGAAACACCTTCATTAACACATGACAGAAATGAAAGGAACAAAATGTAATGGAAAATATACTTCTTTAATAAATAACTAATTAAATTTTTTGTGTGAAATTCAGTTGATATTCAAGTATTATAATCCATATATATATATGATATGAGATTTCAATAGAAACTGAATTTTCTTTACTCATAATTTGTAAAATTATGGCACAATTTAAAGAGACAATACCATATCTCGTATATTAATTTCATTAATTAATTATCACTCCGTGATTATAATTCATTTATTTTACTTTTAAACAGCTCAATTATTAAGATCTTGAGCTTTTGACGTAGTATGCAGAAATTTGGATAAATGTGCAAAATAAAAGTGCACAATATTGAAAAAATTAATCAATGAAAAGTTGAAATAGTCCTTAAAACTTTAGTTGAGATCTCTTAGTGCGGAGCGACTGATGAGAGATAAACCATTTTATAATTTTCCGTTATTAAAAATTATATCGTAAAAAATATTATTACTCGTAGGGCCATTAAGTGCGACATGAAGATGTCAAAATGAAAAATTTCTGCGTTATAGAAAGTAGATGCAAATTTTATTAAAACTAGCCAATATGAGCTACTAGCCATTCCAATTATGTTCACCTTATTAGACTGAGAGTTTTGTAATTTCGAGATACTTTCATCAGGTGGAACAGCGTATTTATGAGCTCTGGAAGATTGTAACCGAATTTAATCGACTCTCGGTCTATAATTGATTTTCAATAATGACTACGAACTATTATAATCACGAATAATGAATGAACCGCATGTGGAAACGATCGCATCCAATAAGAAAACGGGGACTCAACGCATAGGCTGCACAATGTGATGACGAAAGTTTTTTCGATCCAATTTCACATTCCTTCCAAAGCGGTAGTGTATGGAGTTCTAGTTCTGTGTCGTAAACTTTCCTTTGGATTCCCTTGGCCCTTTCCATTAATTCTCTATAAATAAATACACGAACACATAATGTTTTTACTCGAGGAATAAGTATTTCCATTTTTTGGTCCCTGCTGTCTTTTGCAAAGTCTGCGCACATACGCAAAGGTGCGACCGAGTCACGAGACTCGTTTATCCTTAACGTCCGGAGCACGAACGAGTATCCTGATGAATAGTCCCTGGAGCAACGTATAAAATTCTTTCTCCCATCATTTTCTCACCCACTCTGCTCCCTACTCGCTGATCTCACTATTTTTCGTCCTCTCCTTATTCCTCACTATTGCCCTCGGTCATTACTCTTATGTTTTGCCTTTACATTAGAAATCATTCTTAATGGAAATACACTTTGATAAACGATTTACTTCACTACGGGCATTATCGCTTAGTGATGACAGCAGTCGTGGTGAGTTTTCTGATTAGCTATTCTCGCTTTCTGTTCATAAGCACACTTGCGCACGTACATACACATAAGCGTTTACACACTTGCGTAATCATACATGCACCCTTGCGTATGTACTTTTTTGCAATTGTGAAAGATTACTTTACATTTATATATATATATATATATATATATATATATATATGTAACCAATAATATATGCGTTGTTATGGATGCACACGTATGCATATACACAATACGAACGTTTGTACACTCATGCATTCATGGCTTGGAAAAATCACGTTCACTTGTCGCTTTCTACAAGAAAAAAAGGTTGTTTTTTTTTTAATTCATTTAACTTGATTTTAGCATCAGCAAAGAAAACTTTTTTCATTTTCATAAATTACTACGTTGAATATCAAACAAATACTGAACTCTCGATTTTTACAATTTAAATTCTCCTACCGCTATCATTATTTCTTTTTTATTTGATATTTTTAACATCAAGTATAATGCTTTCTCCAATAAAAGTGTCGATGTAATTTTATTAGCTAATTTGTTTAATTTGCCTTATTATTTAAATAATTTCTAAATTATACATTTTCAGTTATATTACATTACGTATATTAATTTTTATATTATGGACGATAAGTAATTATTTTGGAAAAATAAATGCACATTAAGTAATATTTACCTTAACAAAGAATTTTACATGATTATAACATATTTGATAATTATTGTAATTAGTAGGTAAAAGACGGTGTCTATATTTAGAAAGTATTCCATTAGAGAAATAAGTAAAACGTAACATATTTCAGGGACAATGATATTCAACTTTGGCTAACTAGTTTTATCGCAATGTTTAATATAATAATAAATAATTCACGTGGAGCAGATCTGAATTTAGTTTGAAATGTTAATTTGTAAATTTCATTTTATTAAATTGAAATAGCCTCTATGGCAATTAGTAATATTGATTGAAAAAAAGTGTCGAATTTTAAGGTATTTAATACAATGAAAATTAATATTGAGATAGAGCTGAACATATTGTTATATAAATAGTTTATTTTAAATTGTACAAGAGAACTTATTTACTTAGTATATTTATTGATTTATCAGCTACTAATACGAGATGTGATGGGAGTTGAAACAGATTCGACATAGAAAATAATAAGATAATGTATTTAATAGAAATAATGTAAATAATCGATTATTAAAAAGATTTTGGTATAATGAAAATTATGCAATGTATTATGAAATACAAAAGTATAGGTAAGTATTGTATATACGGAAACTCGTTGGCTTGTGAAAGTGCAGCAAATTACTTTAAGCCTTAAGTATCTTCATGTGAATAGTAAACACCCCATGTATTGATTTTTACAGCGATGGATTATTATGTTTGCAATTAATGAAATGTGAATCATCTGCAATGCTGACGTCAATCATTCGCTCGCATTTTCACGTTTTATGTACAGAGCGCCGAGAGTTATTAAAAAAAGCTTTCGTCCGGAAAACCTATATCGCGGTAACAACGACTGGCTTCAAAGAGAGTCGACGAAATATATCGAGCGATCAATTTTGAAGCTCACGCGACACGTACACTCGAAACCGTCACTCAACACAATCTATCAAGGAGCTGCCAAGGTCCTGTCCTTCTCGCTTTTCGTATAATCGCCTCGAGTGCTATAGGACTCGCGAGCGCGCACTTTGTCGCATGTGCTTTCAGCGGGTCGAGGTAATATTGGTAATATTCGGTTCAGCTTCAGATCCAGTCGCGGAATAGTATCAAGAGGTAAGAAGGAAAGGACACAGTCGGGCTCGAATGTACCTGGCCATATATTTGGCGAGAGGTTAAGATGTTCGAACTAGGACTCGGTCCGCCTTGATATATAGCCAGTCATTGTCTTGAATGAGATTATTATAAAAACTGTCGCGACGACTCGGGACTAAAAGACGGGCGAAAGGCGCCGTATTGTGGATTAGATGCTGCAGCACCTAGAAGATGCAATCGATGCACCGCGGAACAAGAACTTTCAAACGAGTTTTCTGTCTCGGAGATTGAGACGTGCCCCCGCGAATGGCCCAATTAAGTTTGCTGGCACGACTTGGACGCACATAACTTTTTGCACGCTGAGCGCGATCGAGTATTGTTTTCAGTGAGAACTATCGAAGCTTGTAATTTGCAATCCTTAAAGAGTATTTAGTTTTCCTCGGCAGGCACTTTATATTTTACTTTGGATTATTTCTAATTATTCGTTGAGTGTCTGAACGGAGTTTGGAGTATTATCCGTACGCGAATATGTACACACAGACGCAAAGGCGCAAACAGAAACATATATATTTCTATAGGTTATTGCTTCCGTAAAGTTCATTAAGTTGTAGTTAAAAATAGTTGGCATTATCTCACGAGTATTTAAAAGAAAGTATAAAACTCAAATAAACGTAGATTTATTGAAAGTTGGCACATATATAAAATAGTTAAAAATTCTTTTTGGTAGATAAAATATATTATCAATCGTATATCAATGTATATGTAATATTAATATCGACTTAACTACGTTATTAATGTAATTCACGCATATAAAGGAATAAAAGTTAAAGTATAAAGTTTAAAGTGTTTACCTAAAACAGTTAGTATAGTCGTAATACACCGTAATTATTCAAAGATCGATGAAAAACGGTTCGTTTGCTAATTGATAAATACTACGTATGACAAATAATTTTAAAAATAATTATTAATAAATAAATTTTATAAAACGATAATTATTATTGGTAATAATTTAATTAATGTTGATGAATTTTTTAACTTTCTATTCGATGTAATGATTGAAAACAAAAACAAAATTTCTAAATTATATTCCTGTTGCGTAATATCTCTTGTATTTCGGTGCACAATATTCGCTGAAATAAATTATCGGATTTAATTAGTTCGATTAGACTTATATAGAGAAGCACGTATTCCAAAACAAGCGCGTGCACGCATGCTTTATGAAACTTTCACTATCTTCTATTCTTTCTTAAGGAAACAATGGAATTTAATAGATTACATCAATTGCGCTAATTGCATTAGAAAATAAAATTGTAGTAAGTGAAACGTCCCAATTAAACTAAAAGAACTGAAATTTCTCCAATGAATTAAAACTAATTTCTTGATTCAACCCATCACGAATGACGTATAAAAAGAATTAAGCTTAATGTATACGCCACAAATGAGAAAAATCTTCGATTAATCTTGAAAGCTTTGTCATTACCTACGCAACTTACTTAAATTATATCCGTCGGATTAGACTGGAACACTAAAGAATTTTATTTTTCGCCACTGTATGATCCCTTTCAAATACATTCCGTAGCTTTTACCGACAGATCGTTACGACCTTTTCACGTAGTTTTGGAAAAGAAAGTCTGCTTTGATCCTATCCAACTCTTTACTCGCGCATTGAGTCGCGAAGGTTCAGTGAGCATGACAAATTAATCATACGCTATATATTTATTTCGACACTTGCTGTTTACGTTAAACAAAGCATTATAAAAGCTCTATCCTTTATGACATTATAATGTGGAGGATTACAAAAACGTGGGAGAAAGAAGAAATAGAGATAGAGAAAGTGAAAACTAGGGCAAGGGTGATAAAAGTAAAACAGAAAAACGGGGAGAGAATATAAAAAGGGGGAAAAGAAAGTAAAATAGAAGAAAGAGAAAGTAAAAAACGAGACAAAGAAAAAATGCATTAGTTGAAGGAAAGTGGCAGAGCGAGCGAATGAGTAAGTGAGCGGTAAGAGAGAGAGAGAGAGAGAGAGAGAGAGAGAGAGAGTCAGAGAGAGAGAGTCAGAGAGAGAGAGAGAGAGAGAGAGAGAAAGTATGCACAAGCGTGTGTGGTACAGAGATGTAAGAATTTACATGGACGCAGAAGTGGTATTAAAAAACCCCGAGTCATGTTCTATATTTCCCACAGATTTTTAAAAAAAATTTTTAATTTCTTAAACTTTAAAGTTTTAAACGTATAAAAAAATTATACCGAAAGTGTTAAGTATTCATTAAAAAAGTTTTCCATCGACAATTTATGCTAGAATAGTTTTTTAAATATTTGATTCTTTTTAAAAAGTATGCTGTATTAAAAATTTAATTTTCATGGTATATTCATTAACATGTTAATTTATAAATTTCTTAAATTAGCTCTATTTTATATAAAATAATTTTAATAGATATTGTCCTGATTTTGTTATAAGAGATTGTGAGATATATTGAAATATTTTTAGTTGAAAATCTTAGAAATTTGAAATGATTAATTAAAAATATTTTATATTATTTTTCAATACTTGTAAAATATGTATAAAAGTTTTACTTATATTTGTATATATTTTATTTACGTTATTTCAAGTAAAATATATACGAAGCGTAAGAAAAAAAAAACAGAAGCATATTTCTAGACAATTGTATTCTACTATTTAAGATAAATTTATACTGTATATCATTGTGTAATCAATTAACATAATATCAAAAAATTATTAAACATATTGAAATATCTTTGTAAATAAAATACCTTGTAGAACAAAGTATATTATTCATTAGTAATAAATAATTTATCAGAAAAATGAATCAAGTGTCGTATATGAACGATCGTGTGCTTGAGTCTCAAGGATTTATTAAGGTTAAATATTTTCATTGTATATTAAGTTAACAAATTAAATATGGAGCTTTTTAATTTTGTTCCCAAACGTTAAAATTATAAAACGATAAAATTACGTAATAATAGACAATCTGATTTTAATGCCAATTACATGAGCAACATAACCATAATTTATATAGTTAACATTTATAGGAATATTTAATATTCTAAAGTATAGAAATTGCAATGGAATATAGATAATTAGTACAAAAAATTCGTATTTTATTGTAATAAAGTAAGAGCAAAATACGAAAAGAAATGATGTCAAAACTGATGGTATAAAAATTAAATTCACCCTCATACTTTTGTACGTACATTGTTTGCACATAATTTGTACAGTTATTTTTGTGAAAATGTTAAGATAATATATGCTTTAGTGATTTAAAGACATATTTAATTACAAATACAATTTCGTCATTATTTTTATATAGAATGTTTTGAATTTCATAAAGTCAAATTATAATTATATTTAAAGTATAATAATTTCCATTTTTTATTGAGACTCTCACCTCTCTCTCTTTTTCTCTCTCTCTCTCTCTCTCTCTCTCTCTCTCTCTCTTTTTCTCTCTCTCTTTTGTCATTGTTGTTACTATTATTATTATTATTCTTTTATTATTATTAATCAATTGCGCGTTGAAAATTAAGAATTTTAAATATTCTTGAAAGTATAAACTACGAAACAAGATACTTTTATAATTTTTATCAAGTTTCGTTAAGACTTCCTTACCTTGTATTCAATCACTAAATACTCGAATATAATAAATTCCTTGTATAAAATTATTATTCATTGATATTCGAAATCTCCTTTCCCCCCCTCCCCCCGACCCCTCACCAATTGTAATGATTTGATAATAATAGAGGGTAAGTATCTGTCAAATGTGTGAATCGTCGATATTGTTAATTTAAACATACGCGAGCATAATATTATGCAAACGTGAGTGCAGTATGTGCATAAAGGATGATTTTTTCTTTTTTGCAGGAAACGTGTTTGTGATAGCAGCAATCGTGATGGAGCGCAACCTTCAGTCGGTGGCGAATTATCTGATAGTAAGCCTGGCAGTGGCGGACCTTATGGTCGCGTGTCTTGTCATGCCTTTAGGAGCCGTTTACGAGGTGTGTACATACGCCTATTACCTGCCTATAAGGGCATTATTCCATTAAATCAAAGCAGCTTCTGGGACAGAGAATATAAATTGAAAATTTTCAGCTAGACGATTGTATAATTAATGTCACGTAATAAGACGAGGAGAGTGAAAATTCGTTAAGAATTCATAGCTATAAATTAAATCGCTAATTGAATCGAGGAATTCGTGTTTTTTAACAGACGTCGGAGTATTCCGAGTGTTTGACGAACAATTGGAATCTCATTTTCATTCTACGTCTGCCGTTGAAGCAAGACATAACATAATGTTATCATCGTCCTAATTTATTATTGTTGAATTAAAAAATTTGACTTTAGGTGAATAATTAATTTATGCTTGATAAAGGATTTGCATTGCATTGAATTTTAGACGATGAGAAAAAATTACGTAAAGCTGAGGCGACGGCAATATGTGGATAATTGCATTGTAAGGACAGCATAAGTCATGGCAATGCGCTTGAATGCCAAACGTCAAAACTTACTTCCCGCACCTTCTTGAAACCAAAATGGTACCTACTCCGGACATTTCACGTACTCAAGATACTCCCCGCAGCATCATTACAATCGACTAGACTATAGGCAAATCCCGTGAAAACGTCGCCTCTGACTTTTCAGGAAAAAGGGAAAATTTCTCTATAGCACGAGCAAGATTCGCGCACATTACCGAGCCAATCGAGGCAACCGTAAATAAAGCCCCTGCGACAATAATTGATGGCACATGCGGGATTACACATTCATCCGTATAACCGACAGGTATATCGAGTTAAAATCCGTTAATAAGTATGATCTCACGCGGAACTGATTTTGACGCAACGACGTTACGCTATGGGATAAAAAAGTTTCCGTTTGGTAGTGGTATTGTTTTTGCACTATAAGGAGGCCCTTTGTTCCCTTATCCAATAGCTTCGTGTATTGCGCGCTCGCGTGCATTCTCCAATTCAAATTTACATTTTGCAGGATATTATAATTTACATTGGGACTGGTGGCTCAAAGTATTTTCCGCCATAGTGTTAATCTTAAGATTTGCGATTTTTAATGAAGCGACGGCTGACGAAATTATGAATTTTATGCCCGAGGCAATTCTTAGGAAATTTTGAGAGACGGAGGCCTTACTTTTTGTTCACCAAATGAGTTTAATTGCAATTATTTTAAGCTCAATTGCATCAAGTCTTTATCAGAAATAATAAATTTAAAGGATCGTGCTGTAAGCCCTTGACCCCTTATAAGCATAAATGAGTTAATCATTTACACTGAATAGATGAATTCAACGTCATGAATTACGAACGTGTATTAAGAATTTAAAAATTTTATTATTAGAATGTAAATTTTTTCAGATATAGTCTCAAGACATTAAGAAATGTTGAATGTAAAATTAAGTTACTTGCTATTGAATATGTATATAGTGAAAAATTCACAATTTATTCACTTGTGACCGAGATGAAATTACTTTTGCATATTACTGATCATTAAATTTAATTGAAAAATTGCAATGTAATGCGTTATTTGTGAATGACAAATCATTATCATTTTGTGATCAAATCATCATTTTGTGACAACAATAATTTAAACATTCGAATTTTTAAAACCTCATTATAACCTTCGTGTGCTTGTTCATTAAAATTAATATCAATTTTTCACCAATGAATTAATTAATTGAAATCTTACATATATCAGACAGACTATTCTAGCATTATAATATGAAGTATAATGACTTCTATTATAATGTACATTGCTTTAGAGAAGATACATTAGATAAGGATGATTCTTTGTCCTATGCAATTGATTGAAAAAATTATTTAACGACATTTGATTTATTCATTACATGTACATCCTATAAATTTTGATGAAAATCTTAGGCTAAATAATATTAATAATCAACAAATTTCTAAAATTAGTATAGTCAATGACTAAAATTGATTATAAATTTTTTATAACATTGTTAAATAACCAACATAACAATATTAAGCGCACAAAAAGAAAATATGGTTGTCAAAATGATTATTGGTTGAAATTTAAATTATTAAATCACTCGTATGGATTTACTTAAATATTTGTTCTTTAAAAAGTTTATTATAAACGAATCTTTATTTAACATAAATAAATATATATTAAAATATATCTAACATATAATATTCACACCACTATATGAGACAAAGTAAAATATGATAAATAAGTTAAAATTCGTACGACGAAAAAATTATATTCTCGAAATTTTGTTATTCATGAATTAGACGGGAACTTTGATGCATAAGATTTTATTCCTTGGGGAAAATCTCTAAATTTTTTTTTTTTACTACTATTTACATTCTAAAATTCGTTAAATTTAAAAAGATTAATCATGCGCATTATATGTATTATGGTGAATTTTCAATAATAAATGGAAAATATTCAATTCATGTAAATGCGATAAAAGTAAATATAGATGTATTTTGTTAAAATGTATGCTCTGATCTTTATATCTGGACGTTTTTTTTTTGTAATAAACAAAAATTTGACGAAATTTTATAAATTAAAGTTTTCTTAGTTAGTGACTTATAAATGTTAGTTGTGAAAGTTTTGTTTTCATCTTATAAATTGCATATTATGTTCTGACCTAGGCATTTTTAAAGCATTTACAATAAAAAAAAAAAAAAAAGACGTACAATCAAATATAGTTGCTGAATTGTTGAAATTTAAAATTTTTAAGAATTATAAAAGAATAACATTGTATGTATGATGACTGATTTAATTTCCCTTAATAGCAAAATATATCTTTTTCAAAAATATTATTTACAGTATTTTTGCATAATAATAGTGTAACCACGTTTGCACTGAGCGTGTGCTTGAAATTTTTTGTGACAAAACTGCTAAAACATCTTCTATGTAAAAAAAATATTGTATATATAATTTTATAAAAAATTTTCGTACAAATTAGTTACTAAATCAATGCACGAAATCGCACAAATGTTAAATATTAATTTCGAAATCTTTGTAAAATAATAAGACTTTCTTATATTATTTTAAAGGCATTATGAAGGAAAAATATAAATAAATAAAAAAATTCGATTACGTGGATAATATGATAGTGAGATAAATATACATTAACGGATATTACATTTTAGTCTTTTAAGCTTAAACACGGCATTGTTACACTGCGTTCTCGCATAATATCCGATTCAACTTTGTTAGAATCCTAAAAGATACGAGATATATTTATCGTTATGGCGTATTACAAAAGTCAACGTTAACGTACATTATTGCGAGTTATATTTCACATTAATCGATCGTCGATAGGTGCACCATGGCAAGTGAAAGGACCAAGCCAACGCTTGTTTTATACTTGATGGGCTGCGTTCGCTGTTAAGGTAATAATTCATGACGTTTATTCTCTTGCACAATAGCGCACGAAGGCAATTATTGTTCGACGTTATTGATAATTTTTGCCTTCGACAAGGCGCGTCGTCACTTTATAATGTCCCGCGAATTTTTCAGTGCAATATATGTTGGAGGTCTATGATTGCGATATGATAACGTCATTAACCTTTGATTGAGCAATATTATCTTAAATATTCGGCATAACAGCCGCAAGATTATATAGCATTTAAATACATGAATTTACTTGGTAAATAAGTATGTTAAGTTTTTCATAATTGATGATATTAAAATTTTACACGATATTAAAGTTTATATTTGTATGAGGATATTTCATTCTCTAATTTGCATATTCTAGAATTAATTAATTTAATAGAAATATCGACTTTTGTGATTTCTGTGACTTTCATCCAATGATATATCTCGGTTTAAATTATATTAAATAGACATTTTGTTCGTACGAGTAAACACTTTAGATAATAATATTATTTAACGATGGATGTTACGAAGTTTTGTATTATTTATTTTTTCGAAAAATAGAAGTTTAAAAAATAAAAGGAACTATACGATTATTGTTGATTAATTCTAATTATTGATGTGCACAAAAATTCAGTTTTTTTCGAGCTCTTTAATTCACGTACTAAGAATTTTCGTCAAATCATTTTAACAATTACTGGCCTTCAATATATAAGTATATACATAAATGGACGTTATCAGAAAAACATTATTTTTTATTAACTACTAAAGAGCCTTTATTCAGGACATCAAATGACGAATAAAATAATGACGAGAAAGTTGTTGAGAACGATTAATTTTAAGAGGCAATCAAATAAAAAGTATTCAATAGTTGACAACACATCAAACGGATAATCATTTCACTCATCACTCTCATGAAAGGAAATGTAAGAAATAAAAAATCTCATTCGCGTAAGCATCGATGCGTAAGCAGAAAATAAAAACTCGGACAAACCACAGAGAGAGAGAGAGAGAGAGAGAGAGAGAGAGAGAGAGAGGAGTCAGATAGGTAGATAAAAGGAATAATGTGAATATGTTAGCGAGTAGGATAGTGTGGAAACAACATTCCGCTAAAAGGAAAAAAGGAGCTGCGAAAGAGGATAAAGCCGCGATGTATGAAAAGATCGAGCACAGAAGCCGCGTGAGAGTCGCGTAATTCGATGGGGTTCACTCATCTATCGCCTCTATCACATTCTTGCTCTCTCTCTCTCTCTCTCCCTCTCTCTCTCTCTCTCTCTCTCTCTCTCTCTCTCCGTGAGAAACGCATGGATCGTAAAGCGCGCGTTAAAGCGAGCTTCATTCCATCAGTTGGCAGGCTTTTAGCCCACACGTGCCGGAACCTCAGGACCGAATGCACTGACATCCGCGACGTTCGATGGGCACATTATCGTGGATGGGTACGTCGTTGGGTCTGTTCCCTCCACCAACCATCCTTTGATTTGACTCGGACTGTATCCGCTCTTCAAGCGGCTGCTTGGGCTTATGTCCGAGGCTTCCCGAGGGATCCGGACGATTAATTGCGACTAATCTTTACCGCAGCCCGATTTTATAATTTAAGCGCGAATGGGCGCTGGGTGGGTGATTCTGGGTGATTAAAGGTGATAAA